ATTTTATTGCTATCAAATAGGGGACAGGAGAGGAGCAGTGTATACAGAGAGGCTCCCTCATGGCTGTCACTATATGTTAGTGCCGCAATTGCCTGCTTTTTTTTTTTTTTCTTCGCTATAGCTCACAGAATAACTGTTTCCCTGGAGCTAAAGGAAACTTTGTTTCTATTATCTCAGGAAATGAACTAAAAGGAAACTGTTTCTTTTAACTTGGGGAAATGAACTAAAACGAAACTTTGTTTCTTTTAGCTGGGGGAAAAGTGACAACTAATTCTGTGAGCTAAAGTGAAGGAAAAAAAAAAGCCTGTAATTAAATTTAAAAACCGGGACTGATATAGTGACAGCCAGTCACTGAATACATTGCTCCTCTCCTGCCATTCTCATTCTTTGTCATTCTAAAAGCAGAAGCCCTGTAGAGTAAAACGATTATCTTTTTGATGATCAGCGATGTTGAATTCATGAAAAACGCATGAAAACGTTGATGGCGATACATGTTACATATCGCCGCGAATGCCAGAATGAGAGCAATAGTTCTAGCACCGGAACTCCTTCGTAACACTAAACTGGTGACCTATAAGGAGCTTTAAATGTGTCGACCTATAGAAAATATAGGGGACTGAAGTTCGTTGCCATTTCACGAGCGCACGTAAATTTAAAGTTTGACAAGTTGAATATCTATTTACTCGGTAAAACCTCATCTTTTATATTTTACAAAAAATAGGGTCATTTATTGCTTTTTTGTGCCCTAAAAAAATAACTTACTTGTATTTAGTAAAATTTTGCGGTAAAATCATGCAACATAAAAAATTGGAATTACCACTATATTTTATTCTCTAGCATCTCTGCTTTCAGAAAATATATCTTATTTGGAGGTTTTGTGTAATCTTCAGGCCCAAAATGATTTTTTTTAAACTTGTGCAAATAATGCAAAAATGGTTCTGGCAGCGAAAGGGATAAACTATAAGCACTGCTCCACCCTTTCCGGAGGAGTAGCCAATCAGTGCTCATTACACTGCAAGGTCTCTCTCCTCCTTGCTAGTCCCCGGGTATGGTGCTGGAGACAGGCAGGGAGGGGAGGAGGAGATAAACAGTGCAATGGTAAAAATATTACACATTTAAGTTGCCATAAAGCCTCTTTTGTTTTTAAAAGCCCCAGACATTCCTAAAATCACCTCTGATTTAAATACAGTTTTAGTTTTAAAGTGTTTTTTTTTTTTTTTTTTCTTGTATGTGAACAAGTAGATTGTTTTGAGGGACAAGTAGATTGGGGCCCCGATTTAGTCCCTGGACAAGTAGTTTTTTCAAAAATGTCCACACCCCTGTCGTTAACCAGGATCTCTTGTCCTAGAATTATTGTTCTTCTTACTTTGATGTTCATGGTGTGGTGAGACTGCAGTTTACATATACGTGTGCACCCTGGGCCTGTGGTTGTGTGTGGAGCAAATGGGATTACGGCCACAAATTCTAAACCATTTTATTTACTTATTTATTTTTTTACTTTTTTTTTTAGCTCATTTTTACTTTATTACTATTACAAAGGGTAACCTCCGATGTGATAGCATTGGGCAAGTGCCAGGTACTTTTTATGAAGATGTTTGGGGTTTAATAGACCCCAGTGTCTCCTCTGCCTTTCATAGCATCTAACCTAGCACAGATCTGCTTGGATAGATGCTTACCAGGTTGGAAGTGTAGGATTTGAACCCGGAAGTGTTTAAATCATTGTTGCTTCGTTCAAAAACAGTTGTTTATGATCAATGCAGCTAATTGGATATGATGTGAATGAGCCCTAAGGAAAACTTGTTTTGATTAGTTGCTATTGATTTCTCCACTTTTTGCATGTGGAATAACCCCTGAAAGTTGAAGTAGAATTATAATATTATGCTGGAGAAGTATTAAAACTGTGAAGCAGTAAGATAGATGAATGTGGTTCAGAAACAATGTCATGGATTAAGCAGCAGATTTGAAATTTGATAATCTTTGAACAATTACTTTTTGTTGACAGCCATTATGCTGGTTGGACTTCTGAGGATTTACCCCCCTTCCTGACCAGGCCATTTTTTGCGTTATGATGCTGCAGTACTTTAACTGACAATTGTGCAGTCATGCCACACTGCACCCAAATGAAATTTATGGCCTTTTTTTCCCACGAATAGAGCTTTCTTTCGGTGGTATTTGATCGCCTGTGCATTTTTTTTAATTTTTTTTTATCTTTTGCGCTATTAAAAAAAACAAAAAAACTGACAACTGACAATTTTGAGAAAAAAACAATATTTTTTACTTTTTGCTATTAAACATGCCCAGTAAAAAAATGTAAGAAATCAAACTTCGTCATAAATTTAGGCCACGATGTATTCTGCTACACGTCTTGCTGAAAAAAAAATAAATCCCAATACCTGTAAATTATTTGGTTTTACGTGAAATTTATAGCATTTACAAAGGGAGGTGTGTGTATATATACTGTTTTTTTTTTTTTTTTTTTTAAATTTTTACTAGTAATGGCGGCGATCAGCGACTTATAGCAGGACTGCGGCGGGCATTCTGACACTGGGGGGAACTGACTTGGTGTCACATCCCCAGTGACACCAATACAGTAATCTGTGCTAATAAAAAAACATTGACACTGTATTAATGGCACTGGGCAGGAATGGGTTAACATGTGGGCGATCAAAGGGTTTACTGTGTGCTGTGTGTGTTTTACTGTGGGGCTGTGTTTGTGCTTCACTGTAAGCACAATGCTTTGCATGGCTGTGCTATGCACAGCCATGCAAAGCAGTGTGCAGGAGCTGACAGGGGGGAGAACTGTATTGTTTATGCGCCTTCTTGGCAAGGCAAAAGGGGAAGGGATGGCTATGGCAGTTACAGTAATCAATACTTTCAAAACTGCGTTTTTTTTTTTTTTTTTTTATCCATAAGAATAGTGAAACCATATGTAAAAATAAATGACCAACACTGCAAATCTGCAAGATGTATGTAAAAACGCATAACATGTAAAATATGTACTACAATGTAATAACTAAAATTGTGTGTTTTTAAGCTGAGATGTTTAAATTGACCCAAAGACCAGAGTGGTCAGAAGCCAGTTCCTCTACCTACATGTGTTGGAGGAAGCTAAAGCACACTGAGAAAACGTCTGCAAACAGAGATATGTACAATGCATGACTATTTGTACCAGGCCTTTAGTTTCCATTAGTAAAATTAACTTTAGGAATTTTAAAATAAAACAAATACAAATAAAGTATAAACTTGAGGACCAAGAATTTTTAAAACCGACCTGTCATGCGGAGCAGATGCTGCTGTTATACCTTCCACCCCATTTACAACTGAGCAGTTTGTATCTTGATGCTCAAAATGCTCCTCATCCAAAAGCCAGGGTTTTCATTTGGGCCTGCTCACATTTGATTATAGTCAGTTGCAGCTTGTAACTTGAAAAAAAGAGTACATGAGCTTCACTAACCGTTGCAGTCCGTTTACACCTGGCTGCTCATAGAACAGAGCTACCTCTGTCCATGTCCGCTCTGCATAAACTGAGCAGACATGGATGTGTCATCCACCTCCTCTTTGATGAGAAGTGGATCTGTGTATGGATACCCAATCCCCTGGCTGATCATGACAGTCTGCTAAATCTGAAAGAGGCCATATTCCTATGGGTAGGATAGTAGGGGGAAAATAACCACTCCTTGTTTGTATATGCTAGGTACTGAGGCTCCTGAGCAAGGATCTGATGCAAACTTTGGCTGTCATTTAAGTGATTCTAAAGCTTAAATACCCTTCCCCCTATACTTACCTGATCCCTTGCTTGTCCCAGCTCTATGCCCATCTGTAGCATCTCTCCTCTTCGCCCCTCTCTCACATGCCTAGCTGAGAGCAGCGGGAACCATTGGCTCCTGCTGCTGTCTGTCAAATCCTGTGACATAGAGGTGTCTAGACGCAGGCAGCGTGGCTCAGGATCAATCCCGCAGGTGTGCTACTGTAGGTACACTTCTAAGAGGAGCCAAGCACGCTAGGGGTGGGGGTGGGGCGCAAGAACAGGAGGATCAGGGTCGCTCTGGAGCAGGTAAGTATTAACCTATCGTGGTTTTTTTTTTTTTTTAAATAGCATTTATAATCACATAGGGTTACATTTATGAATCATTTGTTTAAAATGGGTACTGTTATTGCTGGGTTGTGCCTGAGACCTGAAGTTCCTCAGCTGATCTTCCTACTGCTTATACTGCTGTTATCAGCTAGAATAAGTTTGACTTTAAAGTGTAATTCTAGCTAAATTTTTTTCTTTGTAAAGTTTTGGATAGTGGGTAAGGGTTAGAACCTCAGATATTTTTGGCTGTCAAAACTCTTCCTTTCTTCACTTCCTCTTCTGGTGACCGCCTTTTTATCAGGAAGAAAATATGAGAAAATCTACAACTGGAATGCATAACTGTGAAAAGCTGCTATTATTCCACTAAAGAGTTTTTGGTTTTTTTCTTCTGTATGTTTTTGTTTGAGGTTTACCCTAATTTCCTGTCTGACAGTTTTATCACCAGGACAGGAAGTGAGGGGAAAAATCCCCACTGGAAATGGGAACAATTGTAAAAGCCTCAGGTTAAAAAAAAAAAACAAAGAACAACTCTGGGCAGAAATGTTATTTTCCCATGCTGTTGGGCTGTGCCTGCATTTTATGGGTTAAATGCTCTTTTTTTCTAGGGGATCGTTAAGCGGAGATATACTTGCCTAATCCACCGATCCTATGCGTAAGACCAGTGTGGCTAGCTGAAGGAAAAAAAAGTTCCTTCTATGGCCAGCCTTCACATAGGTAGCATTAGCATTGGCTGCAGCATTAGGTGGCAGCTCATGATGCTGATTATTCATATTGGTGGTGAATGGTTTGACACACAGCAAAATATGACAATGAAGTAATAAACGCTGTGATGATTTTTTTTTGTAAAGATTGAACTTTTTTATTCATTTTTGTCTCTCCAGGCCCTATGAGAGAAAGGGAAAGCTGATGATGCCTGAGCACGACAATGGATTTCTCCTTCTCTTTCATGCAAGGGATCATGGGAAACACAATCCAGCAACCCCCTCAACTCATCGACTCAGCCAACAACCGGCAGGATGATGCCAACAGCAGCGATCAGGCTGACGAGGGCGGTCATACGCCCTATGATTCTGGCCTGCAGCCGGACTTTCAGTACCACACACCTACCACACGAGGACTTGCCACCCCTCACCAATGGCTATCAGTCCTCTCTGGGATATGACTCACAGATCAAATACCAGGCATATTCTCAGTTCCCTAATGGCTCAGCCAATGGGTATGGCAGCAGAAACTTCAGTACCCTGGAGTATTACCACCATTTGGAGACTGCCGCTATGCGGCCTAATGATGGGGGGGGTAATTAAATCTTCTCCTCCTCAACCCACCTCCCCTCCAACAATTCTTCAGCCCCCTCCTTCCTCAACCACTTTTACTCCAAAAAAGACTGGCTCCCCAGAGATCAAGTTAAGAATTACAAAGACAATTCAGAATGGTCGGGAGATGTTTGAATCCTCACTATGTGGGGATCTCCTTCACGAATTCCAAGCCAGTGAAATCAACCGGAAAAAGCATGAAAGAAGGCGGGAAAGGAAGGAGAAAAGAAAGAAGAGCAGCAAGCACCATCACCACCATCACCATCACCACCGTGAGGAGGTGAAGGTGGAGGAACCACAACCCAACAAGATTCAAAAACTGGATCCCCCTGAGGAAGAGATAGTGAGTTCTGCTGTATCTGCTTTAATGTGATTTGCAGATGTGTTCCTTTGTTGTATTATGTTACAAAAATGTAACACCTTACTTATTTTTTATGTATTGATGTTTTGTGGTGTAGGGAGTTCAGATAGTCCTGCTTGAGCTGAGCTTGCTTCATATAATTTGTTTAATATGCAATTTGGCTTGTAATCGGTCTTATGCTAATGTTCTCTTGCTGATCAAATATTTATTTTTGTTATACTTACTCTTTCTTCTGTTCTAAATAAAGCTAAACTAAAAGGGACATTTTTTTAAATTTTATTTTGTTTTTAATTTTTATTTGTGTTTTTCCACCCCCTTTTCTTCTTTTCTATGCACGAAATAAAGCTAAGCTATAGTTCTGATCTTTTAACTTTTTTTTTTGTTTTTAACCCTTTTCAATGTTTTTCTATATTTATAGAGCAGCCTTTATCAACGTTTTTACCCCAGAGGAAACATTAAAATAATTTTCAGGTCTCCAGGAACCCTTGCTAAAAAATGAATACCTACAGCTCACGGTACATTATTGCGACTATTAACTTGTAGATAGTTTTTAATAAAACTTCCGGCCTTACTGAAAATAATTAAATTCATACGGGCATAAACATTTTACTGATGTTACGGATATGTTTTCTAGGAGAAAAGTTCCTGCGTCCTGCTCAGTAAAATACGTGCATATAGATGCATAAAGACTTGTATGCGTTCAAAATTTTAAAAATTATTTTGGTGTATTTCTCCCCTTTGTTTAGGCTCACATTTTCTGCACTAGTTCCTAGATGCAGATTTGATGGATTCTGTGTTACATATGAGGCCTAATAATCTTGAAAAGAAAATATTAGCAGAAAAGAAAAGCAGTAAACATTGCGGTGTCCTCTAATATTTGACTTCTGTCCAGTGAAGGTGGGAGATCAGTTCACCATTACTTACTGTTCAGGGAACCCCCTAGTATCCTCAGGATGATTGATCCCTGGTTGAAAGCGGCTGCTGTAGAGCATAGGTGCTCCTTTACAAAAGCATGTTTAATGTCCCCCATTCCTTCTTCTCGTTGGCACAATACAAACTATTGCATAAGTTTTGATTAACATAGGACTGGATGCAAATCTTTGCATGCATGATATCTTAATTTCAGTGTTTGTTTGTTTTTTTTTTTCTTTTCTTTTTTTTTTTTTTTTCTTTAACATAGTTGTGGTGCATTAGCCATTCATGGCACTCTAATACACATAAACAATAAGCAGCAAGAAATCTGCACTTCAGCATTTAGCAGTCCATGTATGTGAATGTAAACTAAAAATTACTGAAAGCCAATTTTATAATTTAGCGAGGCTGGTTAATATACCTAAAGGCAAAACCTTTTTTAAAGCTGAAGGTTAGGTATGCATATTTTTGCATAGTTACATTAATGTAGCTTGGACCAATGGAAGATTGCATTGGTCATACCTGGGAGATCCTGGAAAATACTGACCTGTGGTGTGCAGCTGACCTGCTGCGTAGTGAACACGGGAGGTCGCTCCTTGACATGGACACCATTCAGAGAACCCTTGGCATTTTCTCAATGAATGTAAAGCATTCTTTGGTTGGAAAAGATGGAAATTGTGACACCCAGTGCAGTGTGTGATGTTTACTATGTGGATGCACATTTGTGGCCCAGTAGAATTGAAGCATATCTAAACCCAGAAAAAAATGAAAATTAGCTAGTCCTTTAGGCTTGTTTTGATTTTGGGTTCAGAAACACTTCAATGGGAGCAACCCCAATAAACATGTGCATAGATGTGCATCTGGCCTATAAGGTGCACCTTTTTAAACCAACTCTTTTTTTGCTTTGCATCGTTCAGGACTTTTGCAGCAATATATGTGATAAATGTTAAATGTTCTTGTTTGTGTACAAAGCAATAATGACAGCTTCTGGATGCAAATGGTAAAATGTTACATGACTGATTCTTAAAGGCCTTTAATAGCCATGAAAACTGTATGTAAGCATTCCAAATGTTCACAAGTGTGTGTGCAGATCAGTTGTGTACATGCCAAAGAAAGTCATGCTTTTGCTGTACTTCCAGGCTGCCCCCGATGTAAGCATTGCAAGCCTCCTACATCCAAGTGATACAGTTGCATCTCTGCCCCCCACTCCTGCTTACCATTCACAAAACACAGCCCCAGGCTCTGTTTCGTGAATGGCCAGGAGGAGAAAGAAGTGGAGATGAGACTGACTGCAGCTCTGGGGTCAATGAGACTTGAAATGCTTAAATGCAGAGCAATCAGAAAGGCCATGCCAAAGGAAGTTTAGGTCCTGCTGTAAACTACTAATTGGTGGGACTTAGAGGTATGCCTGCTTGACAGCAAGGCCCACCTGAGGAACAAGAATTCTTGAAAACCTGTGAAAGTAATCCTGTCTGCAGTTGGACTTCAAATCTTCTGGCTTTTCTGTCCTCTTTTGCACCTGATGTCTCTTGCATGTCATGCCTACCTTGTTTTGTCTTTGTGGACAATGTCACAACAACTACCTTTTTAAATGGTAGTTATTCTTCTTGTAGCTGCAGGTATGCATATATACTGAACCAATGTGATTCGTTCAGCTGCTGTGGGACTACAGGTACCAGCATGACTTGCCTTTAATGCTTTGGCATCTGTAAGCTCACAATTGGAGGGAAGCTGACTGGCTTTCACTGGTATAGTTTAAAGTGGCTCTAAACCCTTATATATACACCCAGTGAAGTGACTGGCCTCAGGTGATACACAGAGATGAAACAAATCATCCTACATAAGTTGTACAGTCTTTACCCTACATCTAATTAAAATACAAAAATGTACACAGAATCTCTCAGCTCTGAAAAGCAGGGAGCAGAGAGCTGAAGCTACATCAGTGAGAGCTCTGAGAGTTGATTGGAGGGAAAGAGACACAGCTCGCAGGACCAGAGCTGAGGCTGTCGACCACAAGCTGTGCACTCCCCTGTCACCATTTTTCTCTTGGTGTCAGGAAAATTAGTTAGACATGATTCATGCTGATAGTAGAGGTTCAGTATACAAGGAACAGGAAACTGGTGGGATGGGGGTTGGGCTGGACACTACACCAGAAACATGGCCTCAGATTCCCAAAGGATTGCCTTATTTACTTTTCAAAAATAAGTGAACAAGCATGTACAGGGGGATGATATGTGAACACATGGAGTGAGTGGCTTATACTGCACAAATGAACAGCTTCTTTACAAGTTTAGTCATGTGTTGGGCTGCTGAGGTCATGTGAGCTTCTGCTGGTTTGCTCTTTCACGATCTCAATGTGCAGATGGCAAGAACTGAAAAGTAGATAAGTGTGTCAACAGAGCTATTTACCACACCTTTTGTCTGGTGTAATTATTGAGGGTATGGGATGTTACATTGAAATTGCCTGAATTGCCATGTTTTTCATGCATGATACATTGGTATGTCATTTATGATACTTACACTTAAAAGATTGAAGGGATGATGTATCCAATCCCATCTCTAGCTTTGAGATACATAAAAGATAAAGGTTTGAAGTATTTATGTACATGTTATCACTCACTGTGACAAAGGCCCTCACTTCCAGGTGTTTATTATCAGTGCATTAAATGTATAATACACTTGACTAGGCATAATTCTTTCTCATTCAAGCTTTACACAAGCTGGGTACACACGACCTGAATATTGGCTGGTTCAGCAGGAATCGGCTGACATTTGGACCATGTGTACAGTTGTCCTTCCGATAGAAGCTGGTCTGAGGACTAGCTTTTGATGAAGGGACATGCTGGAAAACCAGTATCCTATCAGTACTCACAGCCAATGGCTGCGTGCAGTGATTAGTGTGTTCTGGTGGGAGAGGAAGGCACAGCAGGAGCGATTGCTGTACTAACAGCATGCTAAATGAAAAAAAAAAACCCTCAATGTGTATACCAGGCTTTAGTCACTGACTTTTTGCACTTTAAAAGATATGCTGGGAGATGGAGGAGCTCAGCTTTAACCACCTCCCGCCCGCCATATAGTAATATGGAGGACGCACGGTGGTTTCTCTCGTTCTCACCATGCATGCGCGGCTCAGAGAGCGGCGATCGGCGGTGCGCTGTGTTCCTTGGACACAGCGGATCACCGATCACGGAAAGAGCCGAAGATGTTGGCTCAGTTATGTGATCAGCTGTGTCCAATCACAGCTGATCACATGTAAACAGGGAAAAACAGGGAAATGCCGGTTATCAGCATTTCTCTCCTCTCGAGCTGTCATGCTGAGTCGGTAATCGGCTTTTCGCGGAGGGGACATGTACACTGATGGTCAGTGTGCCCTGATGATCAGTGTAGCCCCAGCAGTGCCACCTGTCAGTGTCCATCAGTGCTTATCAGTGCCTCGTCCCTGTGCCCATCAGTGCCACATCAATGCCACATCTCAGTGCCTACCAGTGCACATCAATGCCACATATCAGTGCCCATCTGAGCTGCCTTTCAGTGTTGCCCATCAGTGTCTGTCAGTGCTGCCTAACAGTGCAGTCAGTGCTGCCTATCAGTGCCCATCAGTGATGCCTGTCATTGCCCATCAGTGCCACCTACCAGTGCCTCCTCATCAATGTCCATCAGTGCAGCCTATCAGTGCCCATCACTGCAGCCTCATTAGCGCATATCAGCGAAGGAGAAAAATCACTTATTTACAAAATTTTATAACAAAAACTACGAAAAAAAGTATTTTTTTTCAAAATTTTCAGTGATTTTTGGTTTGTTTAAGAAAAAATAAAAAACACAGAGGTGGAGAGGTGATTATATACCACCAAAATAAAGCTCTGTCACAATAAAATGATAAAAATTTCATATGGGTACAGTTTTGCTTGACCGCGCAATTGTAATTCAAAGTGCGACAGCGCTGAAAGCTGGAAATTGGCCTGGGCAGGAAGGAGGTATAAGTGCCCTGTAGGCTAGTGGTTAAAGATGTTCTTCAGGCTTACTCTTAGGATACTTTCACACTGCTCCATTGTAAAAAAAAAAATATATGT